CTTCGGCAGTTTCTGGCTGTCACCCTGATTTTTCGGACCTAGTTTCTCAGCACGGAACTATCTGAACTATCTGGTTTTGTTGAGTGTAGAATAGAAAACAGCGTTAACACTAACCTCCTTACGCAATTCCTTAGAAAAACCGTTCCCACATCGCTGTCGACGAGATGGAATCCTTGTGAACACGATAAGTGGGTCAGTGCGCTTCTGGAAATAATATACGATGCTCATTAAAAGACCCAATCATGTGGATTTTGATATATAAAGGGCATTCAAAGCAAAAGAACGTCTCCGATTCGAATCGCACGATCGTATTATCATTTCTAATCGTACATCCCTGACATCCTTGACGATGAGGAGGATGACGGGTTTACGATGTGACTTTCACCGTCAGATACTGCTGCTGTTTCAGCGGTAGGTGCTGGGATGATCTGATTTGTGTCAAGTCCATTAGCATGGCGACACCTTCTGTTCAATTTCATCATTCGGTTCGATTTTCCTGCCCACACGAAGCTTCCTCCCCATTACGTTGAAACACTTCATTATCCATATTGTTCAGTTAAAATTGCCCGAGACACTCATTGGTAGGGCCAGTCGGTATTTTCTGGAGTAATTCACCTTCCCAAGACTGGTTCTGGGCCTCTTGACTGCCCTTTCCAGCGTCAAAGATCGAAAAGCAGACTTTCTGTAAACATGCCTGTCTGCTACCTTTTTTATTCTATTTTTTACACCACTGACTCTCTAGAGAACCAGATCCTTCCCTTTGACCTCAGCCATCGTATCGTACCCTTGACCGATGGCGAGGTCGAGCCCAATCCCATCAAGGCGACTCTTGTAGAGTAGTTATACGGTTGTTTGTTTTCTGTCCAGTTGTTCAAATACTTCGTCAAACTACTCGACTCAACTGCATTCCTACCAGTCACTTCCAATTTGTTCAGCTAATCTTAAGGTTTATTTGCCAGCATGCGCTTTCATATTTCTTCTGCTCTTATTCTAAATGCCATTATTCGGTCCTCTGGATCCAGGGTCAATATCCGTCCAGGCCAGCCAGGCCTTCCATAACTCCAGGTCAGATTGAGGGTACCAGTCTGGTCTAGGAGGAGAAAAGCATTGACCTGTACATCGAATGGCCACTGCAAACCATGTGTAGGCCACATACGCATTCATTTCGCCACTACGAGCCTGAATGGAAGTCGAACGCATGGATGCACTCCTCCGACGGACTTGCGCCAGGAGACTGCAGACTTTTACTTCATAAGGTCCTAGACGACTTTCGCTGATACTCACCTTTATCGCTCCCTTTTGCGATCCTCAATATTGGTTTTACTTCTAGCACTGAACGAATATTTGCCGTCCTTGAGATGTCGAATGTGTGATGCCCCACTCCTACAGGGTTGCTCATACATCTATTCAATATTCGTTGCTTCACAAGACAGTATGATGAAAAACCTCTTAGACTTGCGTGGGCGAGTTCTTGCTTTTCTGCGAAAGATCTGGTATGTCAGAAAAAGAACAAAAACGAAGAATGTTTTGAACCACAAAACAGGCACTACCAGTTATGATCCAGCAGCCCGCCACCTTTGTCAAATTGAATTATGCGATTTCCACAGATTTTTCTCTATATTCCTCTTTGTCAAAAGCGAACGCCATCAAAAATAAGGATGAGCCAGTTTCATAGCCATCGGTAAGTAATGGAAATCAAGAAAGTGATTTCAAATGGACGGTTTCTCCAATGGCCCTTTATACTACACTGTGAATAACGATCGCTGTTTGGCAGTCAGTCCGGAAAAGCTGATTCATTGACTGAGAGAAAGTTTTTGTGCCGTTTTGAATGCATGTACAGCAGCCATCATGGTAATATAGTAGTGCTAAGAAAGGTAGAAGCTGTTGCTAAATGTATGAAGGATAAGAATGAAGTCTCCAGATTGATCAATCTCATTTTGGATGCTCCCTCCCGACTTCGATCATAATCATGGCGGTTGCTTGAATGCGTATGCAACCTATAAAATGAGTTGTACCGCCCAACCAGGTATAAGTCAGTGCTTCTATCCTCTCACACGAGTCCAGTACCAATTAACCGAGCCTGAAGAGATGGAAGGCTTGGTTGGCTCAGGCGGATATCGATATGGGGTTCAAACTCGTGAGCATGAGTGTGTGATAGTGTGCCACTTGCCACTACTTGACATGACTTTTATGAGATTTCGTGCATTTATTTCTCTTGAACATCATTTACGACTATACTATATTATTTACCGGCTATACTACACAATAATGTCTCCGTGACAGGTAACATTGGACATGGAGGTAAACACTCGAAACGTTTGTTGGTGTTTATTCTTTCTTTCGGCAATGAAAGAGAATTGTGGAAAATACGGAAATCATCAACCGATGAGGCGGAGTTTGATCGTAGGGCATCTTGAACAGGAGAATCTGATGAAAATGAAGAAATATTTAAAAAATTCAATTCAATAAGCTTTCTCGGAACCACCCTAGCCTGCCCATGATTGATTCAAGTTTCTTATGATGTCTCCTTGTTTTAAAACATCTCCACTTCACTACCGCATGCTCCGTTCTCAGATAACTTGGCTTACTGACCTGCTTTGATCCCTTTTTATGCAACATTCTGGACATTCGATTGAAATTGATTACACTCCGAATGATACAGTTCATCGTATCCATCAGCTATTGTGTACTCAAAGCGGCATTGAGAGGTTCCGGCGTGCACACTTTTCATTATTAGTTCAATATCGTTCTGGTCACTCAACCTCCTGGCCCCTTCCGTAATTTCCTCCAAACCCAGGTATACTTATAATCATAGGCTACTGCCTACCTTGTGTATAGTACTAACTAATACTCTGTACTGAATCATTTCTTTACTGCTGATACTGCTTGATTTCCAAACCAATCTATGAATAGCTCATGCTCGACGGAACTGATTCATTCTATGAGTCCATGAGTATGAATAGGAACCCAAATGGCTGATAGGTAGGTAACCGTAATGTTTTGGGGAAATGCCCTTCACTCCTCAAGGTGGGGCTGCCAAAGAGTAGGTATTTGGATCAAGTCAGCTGTTCTACCAAGGTCCACATTAAATCCACTTGTTCCTTTTCATTGTAAGAAAGTGATGCCTCTTCTGCACACCCGTGGTAGGTTTCCCGTTTTCCCAGAGCTTGCTCAAGAGAACGGAGCCTATCAGTTTACATGTTTGTGCTTCGTAGTGGACCTGCAAAGCCTGTTGATCTCGTCCCATAAAACCAGCTTGAGGAGTGGTAGGTAACGAAGCTTGGGCATGAGCTCCTATGAGGCAAAGCTCATATTTTTAAGTTCATCGGACCAGACTGTAACTAGGGAATTTGAGTGGAGATATATGAGGCTTCCTACTCCACCTTGGTAATGGACATTATGTGCACAGTGAATTTTCTTCGAAGACATAGGAGGGCTGACTTGGGCGCTCAAAAACGGAAGGAAGAGAAGTAAGGAATATCTCAATCACTGACGCGATTGTAAACAGCAAATGATGAAGTGAAATTATCCAATGGATGGGTCATTTCATCCAATTATTGCCGCTTCACGGGCGCTCTGCTTGCCCTTTTTACGAGCATTTCCTTTTTTCGTCTCTCAGACACCACGATGGCCTGGCCCATTCGATAGAAGACGGACAACAACCAGATGATTCGACTGGCGAAGCAAAACGAGTATGGACTCGAAACAGTAAAGGAGCAGTCCTTGTGGTTAATTCAGCTACTAGGGTAACTGCTTGACTTTTCCGGGGAGCCCTGAACCCAAGAAATAGGGGTGGTATGTAGGTCAAATGGGCCTACTGAGAGACAGATGCCGATAGGACAGATGTCCTGGCGTCTTTCGTGATTTCGACTGTGCCTTATCAACTATCATCGATCGTTACCCCCTTCGAAGTGGCTAGAATAGCAAATTCTTCCGAATCTAATCAACTGACGCTTGTTCCGCATTTTTCTATCGGCTAGCTAGCCATAAGAGTGTTGCTCTATTGAAAGAGGTTTCCTATTTCGATGCAGTTCAAGCAGGCTGCATTCACCCTATTTGCTTGTCTTTTTCTGAAGTGTCCGCGCTCAAGTGCACCGGACGTCTTTCTCGATTCTATCCATACCGCTATTGGGCCGGTCACCCATCAATGACAACTCAAAAACCTATTCGAAGTGATTTTCAAGAGGATTCACGAAAATCTGGATAGTTCACGAATAGAGGCAACAGAAAGAAATTGCCATTCTATTAGGGCTACATGCCTGTCCTATCGTCTAGCTAGTTCTGTTTTGGTTCTTCAGAAAGTCTTATCAGTTTCAAGAAAGGGTGGCGATTCGTGAGCATGTAAGCAAGTAAGATGGCGGGGGTAGGCGTGGTTTTGGTAGTGTAAGGGATAAAGAGCACTGCATCTGGAAAGTACACACAAGTACAGGCTCGAGTGTTCAAGTTCCATGGTCGAAGTTTCCTTGTAAGTCGTCATCCTTGTGGGGGTTCCGCATCGACGGCGAAATAACAACAGTCAACTCATAAGAACCTCGAGCTGTTTAGTCATCAAATGGAATTGCTCAAAACCTTCATAGTGGTTTCCTTCATAGTGGTTTCCTTATAGTGGAAAACGAGGCNTTTCCTAGTGAAGGATTATGAAGGAAGTCTTTTGGTGTTAATCAATCCCGTCTGAAGGGTGCGCCCGGCATTCGACTTCCACTTGGAATCGTAGGTGCGTATTGAATGCGCACGTGACCTATACAAAAACTTGTTGCTTTTCAACTCAAGCTTTTCTATCGACTCATCAGATCAAGTTATCTCCGAATTCTTTCGTGATCCTCATTGGAATTCGGAAGCGTTGAATAATTTTGTATACTGGTCTATAAATATGCACGTCTACTGTATCAAACTCGGTTAGACTGCTCTATGCAAAGCGCAGCTTTCCCCTCTATACGATTCGTTTCACCGTAATTCATTCCTTTCGTTTTCTCGCTCACAATAACCTATGCTTTCAGAGTATGCGACTGCCAGATCTATTATCTGCAATAACACTCAACCTTGTCTTGGCCCTATTCTCAATGGTGATGGCAATAGTAGCCCTCGGGCTGCTGGCTTTTGTCCTTGCAAAGGTAGGAGCCTGCCTTTGTTCGAGTATTTTCAAGATTTTTCAGTGATCCAGTAAGTAGATGTACGTTTGTTCCTATTTCAGGACAACTACCTACACAAGGAAGGCCCAGCTGTTCCGAAAAACGACAAAATCCGACGCCATGAAAGCGTTGTGGTGGATTTCAAGAATCCAAGCAGTCAGTCTTTCCTATTCTACCCTTTTCAACCCTACAATTGGTCGCAATGATTCCTGATTCTTCAAAGGTTACTGTAATTTTGGCTGATTTACCCAACTTAGGTACCGTCTGCGAGAAACCTCGGAATATCATTAAAAATATTCCAATGAAAATGAAAATTGTCTTGGTTGACTTGCAAAATGCTTTATAGCAAACCGATCGATCGCCCTCTTTAATTATGAGACTGTTTCCAAACGTTTGAATCTCCTTATGCACGTAGCTAGCTATTAATAACCCTTTGAACGAGTAATCTTTAATTTCCATTTTGGCCTAATTATATTTATTTGTTTTCTAAATCATAACTACTCATTTTCAGCAGTACCAGACCATTTTCTGCAGTTGAACACATTGATGTTCCAAAAGAAGCCTAAGAACAACCAAGTATGTCTTTCAATCACCTTTTTCGAATTGAATGTACTAGTAATCCGAGAAATCATTAGGTGACTGAAATGGCTCGAGCTGTCCCACTATCTGGTATGGATCTGATGTCGTCATCGAAACAAGATCAGCTTGGAGATAGTCAAGCTATTCCAGTTCTCCCGGTCCGTTTTTCTCAACATCTCGATGAGGATGTTTATCGAAAATGACTTTTATCGAATAAGGCTTTGCAGAATGAAGCTGAAGACGTCTCCTCAAATAAGATCAATACAGTACTACGAGCACAAAGGTCAATACCAGAAGAAAACTTAACGCTGTAGGTTCCTAGCAGAGTTATTGCCTCTTAACGAGCCTCTAGGATCCAGAGTCAATACTCGCCCAGACCAATCAAGCCTTCTATTCCTTAATCCTTACCACACTCGTTCGGGAGGACAGGAACACTGACTCGCTTTCCTATTCGGGAACGCCAGTTGGACAGCAACCTACGCGCACATATTCATTAGAAATTCTAGTAAAATTTTAACTCAGCACTTTAGAAGTTGTGTTTTTTGCAGTTTCTTTGGTCGATATTTTTTACGAACCTCTTTCGATAGGCGCCGTTGGGTTTGGGAAATAACCTCGTTTTTGAAGATTCCAGAACTCGGGGTAAAGGCACAGTAGCACAAGAAGCTATGTTTCACGGCCTTATGCTTAACCCCGCCCTTCAAATATCTAATTCGACTTTTTTAAAAAGTTTCTATCATGGATTTTGATTCAGACACTCTCCATCGTCATTCGTAACGGATTCCGGTATTTCTGATGAAGAGTACACATCCGACACAACAAGCTCGGTAGATGAGAGATCAGGTCAAGCTACAAAGGTAACGAAAAGTTCAAATTGATGAATTCACTAGGTTCCTCAGACCTGGTTTACACCCAGAAAAGTTTTTCTACAGGGTTTCGTGACAGAAGCTTCAGGTTGGATCGAGGAACGAGTAACAATTGAGCCATTGGCGGAGAAACGTATCGTCGACCTTGAATGCGGATCAGAATTCTCGCTCTGTTAACTTCACTCCAGCTATCCCGGACTCCTGGACAGTCAGCTAACTCTAGCTAAACGTCTATGAGTACATCAAGCAGTGAGGTCGTTACCCAGAGCCCTCCTTGTTTGCATTCAGAGCTCGTCTTTCGCCTTTTATGTGTTTCACTCTTGCCTACCGGTCATCATGCTCATTTACCTGTGGGAGCATCGTTTTATCCCAGTTCAGACCGGATCATGTACATGTGTTGCCTTATTGTTATTTTCAATTTTTCCTCCGTTCGTCTGTGATAGTTCAGTTACATATTGAACATCTTTTATACATACGTACCGTACTCTCCACCCTAAATCTCATTTTTATTTATTTGTTCCAAATTGTCATGAATTTGGTGTTGTATAATTATAATAATGACGCCATAAAGACTCAGTGATGTCTTTGTTACATCAATGGTGTAGAAAGCAGAGGCACGGCATCGCACCTATACCATTCATGGGATCGGAACCGGTTGTTGGCTCATTACGTAGTCAACAACCAGACTCAACAACTCACCATGTGGGAGAGGTAGTGGAATGCCAAGAAGCGCAGTATAACAAGCATCGTCAGGGGATCAAATTCGTGATTGAATCTTCTTGTTAAATCAAGTGATCTCAAGCGATTTTTGGGAAAAGACTTCAAATAGCTCTCAGTCAACAAAAGTTGACAGAAGCCATCAATAAGCAAGCCAACGCTTTGGTCCTTCAAATGAATTCATCAGATCAGACATGCCCATAGAAGGAGGGCACTGGTTGACCGATGACCAACTGCTCAGCTTCGAGAATTCACTGAATAAATCGGAAAGGCTTTCAAAAGCATCTGTGGCTCAAAAAGGATATCGATTGCATGTCGCACCCGAAAAGAAAGCTCGATCCCGCTAATTTGTCCCCCATAAATTCTTATCACTCTTGTCAGATTTGAGAGATATTGGCGTTCATGGACCTCCACTGAAGACTGAAGTCAGATCACTTCCTCCTTGTCTTGTCATGAAATATGCCTTTTTGTAAAACTCCCACCAAGATGTCTTTTCTAATTAAAACGGATAGGGAAGAAATGGGAACAAAAGTCTTTTTGAAGGGTTTCGAACTGAATATCGTCCGTCGTCGCAAACCATAGCCAGTTTTCACCCACGAAGTCTTCAAAATCTTTGCATCGATTCCATCATATCTGTTTATCGGGAGGTTGCCACACTGAACATCTCTTGGCTTATCTTCTTATCAGATAGGAGCAAAACAAAACTCCTCCGCAGCTGTGAGGTTCATTTCGCAGTCCTCAATCCTCATGAACACAAATATTCAAAGTCATTCCTCTGACGAGTGAGTTTCTAACTGGATGCTATCGGCAGCGCTTGGTTGAAAGGTAATGAGACATGTGAGAAATATTCGGTCCTGATAGGATCCGGACTCTCACCAATGCTTTGTGAACTTTGGGTTTCCACGCTGGACTTCGGGCTCCTACACTCGCAATGGTGCTGTATAAAAATGGATAAATCTGAGAAGCATGTGGGTGAATTTGCAGCGATTCAATTCGGCTGCAGAAGAAGAACGTTCAGGTGAGAGTTGTGGGAGGGAAGTCATGTCAGATCTGATTTCATTACGATCCTTCTCAGCGTCAAGAGGAGAATTCGATAGAGTGTCAGGGAAAACCACTAATTAGAGGATCATTTTGGGGAACAAAGAAATGCAACTTCTTCTGCAGACCTTTTCCATCGCCGTTCCCGTTCAAGTGGACTACGCTGTTTGCTCTAAAAGGGTAAACCCAGAAGCCACTTCCCGCGGAAGCGTACTGCATCGGACCAGCTCTTGAGCGCATCGGACCAGCGAGCGCTTATATGGTTCTATTCGTCGTATGACCGTTCTCGAAACAGGGTTAAACAAAATCAGCGGCATTGGAATTTTGTTCAAATGATTTTCATACTAAACCCGGTTTTTTCAGTTACTATCCATCATCATTTTCACCACCAGAGGAATCAAGTTCCAAGTGGCTTGTAAGTGATTAATCATGCCTTTTACCTGCGCCGTAGGTCATCCTTTATAATCGTGCAATGTCCAAACAATGGAAACAAAGAGGACAAAAGCTGGCTCATGGTCCCATGTACGTCCCATGTGCCCAGCGATTTTCAATGAAATCATTCATGCGTCAACCTCAGTTGCCAAGCAGTGAATGGCGTCGTTGCTTCCTTCCTACCGTACGCCCTGGAATAACCAGTTCCGAGCCCTGATTTTCTTTTATTTTCCAAGCGATTAGGCTTTTAGTAGACATAAGCTAGTTAGAAGTTGTAAAGACCCATTTTGGGTCAGTAAATGGTTCGTTTGAGTTCAGGCATACCAGATAAATGGGCAGTTACGAGCTGCATGGTCACGACGAGGAAGAACTGGCGGTCATTCAGGACATTCACGACAAGATCATCAAAAGCGAAAGAAAAGGAAGCGATCCAGTCGACGCAAACAGGTGTTATATACTTTGACTTTGCGAAAGCCTTCGATAGAGTACCTCACAAAAGACTACTTCATAAATTGGAGATGTTGGGTTTCCATCCCACACTCGTAAGTTGGATCGCTGATTTCCTCCATGGCAGGACCNTCAATCATCTTTTTTGAACTAAATATTCTAGTAATTCGAGAAATCTTTAGGTGACTGAAATGGCCAGAGCTGTCCCACTATCTGGTATGGATCTGATGTCGTCA